CCAGGACGGAATTTGATGTACTTATTTTTTTTTAGATCAACGAACCATATAATACAAAAATCGAAAATAAATTGAAAAAATTTTCGACTCGGGCAGGACTTGAACCGGCATCGTCAGCGTTCCGTGCTGTTGCTCTGAGTCAGAGCCGGTTCAAGTCCTGCCTGAGTCGAAAATTTTTTCAATTTATCTCCAATTTTTAAATTATATAGTGCCTTCATGTGCAATAACATGTAAAAATTAATAAAAGTTTTTTTACCAACGAACCAGTCAATTATGTTATGCTCCACTTTAAATACACGTAAAAGCTTTTACAGAGATGAATATTTTAGACAATTTTCCTTTTAAAGGAGTCTCTAAAAATACAAAAAAAATCTTAAGTCAAATTTAAGCTTACGTATTAAGTTAAACAACAAACGGGTCTCTAATCAATAACTGCAATTCTAAGTGCTGTTGCTCTACCACTGAACTAAAACTTCCATCGAAATTAATTAATATCGTAGAAACGTCGTAGAATTAATAAAATATAAATAAACTTTACGACTTTACTTACTTAGCCATACATTACCATTCGACCAAGGAGTCAAATATATAACTAATAAAGTAATAAAGATATTATTATAAGTAAAGTAATAAGTAAATTTTTGCTACCTTATTCAGGTAAAGAAATACCAACAACGGCTCAAATAAATGAACGGAAAACTAGTCTATACTTGAAGCCATAATGAGTTGATATTGAATTTCTATTGACGGTTGAAAACAAAATTCTCTTAATATTTCTGCGCGTTTCAACGGACTTTACTCGGATTATGATCTCAATGGTGCAAAAGGGCAGAATTTCGTGTTTCCGGGTTTATTTAGAAAAAAATTCCTCTCACGAAATTCGTTGGGGGAATATTAAGTCGCTGAGAATTAACGAATTGAACGGGTCTACTGATTTTGTAGCGAGTGTTTATACTAATTTAAAGTATATAGATATATATTTTAATATGGTAATTTAAAATGCCTACTTGATTTTTCGTAGACGTGGTTATTTTTCTAGGTACAGATCCAATGAAAAAATATTTTTTACATTGCGAAGCAACAACATCTAGGTTTAGCTAATAAAACATTGTAACGGTTTCAAACGCGACCTATAACGCAATACGTCAGGCCGTAGTGTAAATAAATTCAAATAATTTAACTAATATATTTCACTTTTAACTCAATTTTATGTTTTAAACCGTTAAAAGTGTTGTGCTTTGCTAAGCGTGAAAAACCATGTCAACCCAGGAAGCCAAGCTAAGACCTGTCGACCTTCGAAAACCATAGCAACTATGTTTACAGGGGAACTTGTTATTGAAGTTAAAAATAATTTACTACCCAAAAATCCCGTTTCTTCGTTTTAAAAGACTACTAGATGATGAAACGTCAAAGAAGCCACGAGGCACAGCTAGTTTGAAAATAACCTATCCCCGCACTTAAGACCCCGGTTACAATATAGCTATATTCTCAATACCTTCATATACCTCACACCTTTAATTAATTCTGCAGCACAACAGCGACACTTAAATTACGGTGTCGCAAAATAACGCTTTAGTTAGAAGTTCCAGCAAATAACAGTTTAAGTGACAAATAACAGTGTTATTCGTAGGGACGTGACGGCGACAACATTTCGCTTTTATATCAACCGCACTCGAGCCCGGTTTTGCCTCAAAATTTAGAATGTTTTATCTTATACCTTCGGTGTACTTAAGCCGTCTAGTGTGGATGGGGTGGTGGATTTAATAAAGGCCCTCGTTGTTGTAATTTAACGGTCCGAAGTACGGTTATAGCGATTCTGTTTATTGTAAAAACAAAGGTTGGGAAGATGTTATAATTCAATTATTACGCGCTCGGTTAAGGGACAGTTTTTGTTTAGTTAATGGATAAAATGTGGGTGTGACAAATTTATATTTTTCTTTTAATATAGAGACAGAGAAGGAATAGACTTCACTTCAAGGGAGGTACTTCAGCCATAATACCTGAGCAGGTGCGCTGTTGGCCTACTTTGGGTTTTGATATTCGAAAATCCACAGACTGAAAGCGATTAAACTTCATGGCTTTTTCATCTGTGAACGGTGGTTGAAATGTAGCTTTAACTCAGGGTAAAATAGTACTAAAACTTTGGTCATTGGTTCGAATCCCACGAATGTCATCGCTTTTAAGATGATTTTTAATTTAGTACTTTGAAATTGTAGTTAGTAATATAAGATTCCGAATGCGTAGATTAATATTATATATACTATTATTTTTATTATTTGTTCATTATTTTATACCGCATTGAGTAAGTAATCATCGCGTATTATTTCTAAGCAAATTGATGATTGGTTGGGCCCAATCTACACCCCCCCCCTTCCCCCTTCCAACCAATTTATGAACAACACATGACATGACCGTTAAACAGAAAGTGATTCTTTATTGTTTTGAATAATTTAAATAATACACGTTTAACGGTTTAAAACGCGGAATATATTAGTTAACTTATTTTTATTCAAATGCTGCCAGGCGTTTCCCCTATAAGCACGGCTGGTGCAAACTATCCGAAGCGGAGCGTAGTAAAAATGAGTTTATTATAAATTTCACGTTTTAAACTGTTAAATAGAAAGTTATTTATACTTCTATACTAGTATATAAAGCTGAAGAGTTTGTTTGTTTATTTGAATGCACTAATCTCAAGAGCTATTGGTTTGAATTCAAAAATTATTGTATTAGAGCGTTTATCGAGGTAGGCTATATATAGGCTTTAAAACGAAGAGCGAAGAAACAGAGGGAAATGTAAAAAAAACGGGGAAAATTATTTATGCCTGGGCGTTTCCATTGCGTACTAAAAAACGGTTCAAGATACCTAAAAGATATGCATGAAAAAATGATTCCTCTTTAAATGATCATAAAAAAAAATCCGCCCTCGCAAGAACAACGGGACGCGGACGACGTCGTGGCTAACAGCTTAAAAGAATAGAGTTAAACAGGGGGTTTGCAAAATTATTCTACGCGTACGAAGTCGCGTGGCTCAGCTAGTTAATTATAATTTCTTATTTTAACGGGTATTAGAGATAAATGCTATTATTTGTAAATCAAATGTAACCCTATTTTATCGTTATAAACTAAGAACCCACTGGGATTAGAATTTGAGTCTCCTTTAGGCTCATAGGACAAAACTGTGAGATAAAGCCCAACTAATTAAGCCGCGGACAGGCTCCACAAAGCTCATTAAAGTAACATTCTTGTACCTAAAATTTGTAACAAGAATTACAGGGAACCCTCAAACTTAAGACCAGGGACTATAATAGAAAAACTTCTTAACGAACGCGATAAAACGTCGTGTAACAAAGACAATGGAAATTCGAAGAGATCATTAGTTTAAATAAAACACTTTAACGGTTTAAAACGCGATATATTAGTTAAAAATCATTTTCAAATAACTTTAACTAATATATCGCGTTTTAAACCGTTAAAGTGTTTTATTTAAATGTGTACTACTCGCGTAAACTATAGACGAGATCATTAGTTATTGGGTCGTGGGTTCGATTACGGGTCCAGCATGTTTGACCCCGTACCGATAAGCCTGTACGTTCAATGGGAGGAATATAGACAGTCCTGATCTACCGAACACAGACAGTCCAAAGCCAAAATGAATCAACTAATCATAACAATAGATTTTCAACTTATATAAAGTATGTTTCAAAATTATCTTTCTCTTTAATGGAATAATATTAATATTTCGACCCTTATTTAGCAAGAAATAAGACAATATCGTTTTTATTATTATTTATTGATATAAAGCAAAAGCAATTTTATTACACACAGTTTTATGATAAATATATAAAATAAAAAAACTGCTTTAATTTAAATATAAATCAAACCATAATCACTTCACAAATTCACTGTAAACGACTATTTCACTCACTATTTTCGGCTCCATTTCAGAAACGAAAGCCATCATGTTGTCATCCATTTAAGCAAGTTGGAACTTTGATTTTTTTATTACCACATCTGCTTTATTCATGCTCGCTTCTACCCTGAATGTGTAGAGTGGCGAAGTGCATTCTTTTGTAAGATTTGTGTGTGAAACATACCAATAGAAGTTAACATGTTATGGATTATCTGTAGATTAGTTGCAAAATGTGCTTCAGAAAACCCTAAATTTAAGAAATAGTTTTCGTCAGTATTCAGTTGAACATCATCCAAATACGAACGCAAGATAATCTTGAAAAGAACGGGAGAAGAAATCTTGAAGAGAAACAATTTTGACCCAGCATTGCATCAGCCTGGACATTCTATGCGTGGTAGGAATATAGACAGTCCAAGTCATGGGCTGCCGTACACAGGTGGTTCAAAGCCAAAATGGATCATCAGCGGGTCTTAAAAAATGTTATAAGCATAATTTTTCAACTTATATGAAGTTAAATTCACAATTGTCTTTCTCATTAATAGAAAAATATTAATATTTTGACACGTATGTAACAAGAAATAGGACAATATCACTATCATTTATTGTTAAATGTAAGTATATAAAGAAAATATTAACAGCAAATAAAAACAAAGTACTTCAATTTAAAGCCAATTTTGCAAGTTCATTCATCAATTATTTCTATTTCCAAAAGTAATTAGCGAGAAATAAGATAAGTAAAATTATAAAAATAATAAAATATTAATTAAATAACTTACAGCGTAAACGAAAGCCATGGTTCATAATTAAAAAAATGTATTTTTTACGCGAGTAGTCAACATTGATATTTTACTAAATTACGACCTTAGAAGTCTCGCGTTGTAAACCGTCAAAAGTGTTTTATTTAAATGGGTCTTAATGCATATTACCATCAGAGAGATAGGGCCTTAGTAAAAAAAAGCTATTATAGTTCGCGTTTTAAACTGTGTTCTTATAATTGTTCCACTCGCGTACATACAAAAAAAAATACATTTCTTTTTGCTTCTTTATATAGTCAAATATTTAATTAAGTGTATTTGAAAAAATAATAAAGTTACTTTCTACCCCCAGCCCTGAAAGAACATAGTAAACCGCGTCCGTCCTTTTCTAAGACCACACTGTTCCCACCATTTTCATCATTGAATATTATTATCCTCGTATCACCTTCTTGACCCATAGATACTGTATATGTGTTGGACCGTATTGTTGCATTAGCCTGGTCTATATATGCTGAAGGTGGATCTGTACCATGTTTATAGATGTGATACGCAGCAGAAACCCTTCCACCAAACCTTAATCTATTCGCACGGATCACAAAGGCCAAGTTAAAATCATCCATACCCTTGGCCACCTTCACTAATCCTACCATGTCGTTGTCATCGACCAATGAGAACATTTCATTCAATTTTTCTCTTAATGGCCCCGTATTTTCGAACACTGTTTCTTTAGCTTTAAAACCTGTAAATATAAAATTCATTTGTAAATAACTTATGTACTGCACTTACTCGCCAAATAATGAAAATTTAAATCTTCATTATTTTCCACGAAGGCCTATATACGGAATCGCAGTAATCGGGGATTTAAGTGCCGTGTCATCAAATTACATTTTAATCAAAAATAATTTCGAGTTTAATAAATAAACATATCAAAAAGAACTTACGTATCCAATCACTCTTTTTTCCATCAGTAGGGTATGTGATTGTTCCCTCCTGAATTCCTTTTTCAATTTGTGCAGCAGTTTCCACTACGTAACTCATAACAAATTCACTGTAAGCGACCATTTCACTCACGTTTCTCGGCTCCATTTCAGAAACGAAAGCCATCATGTTATCCATGTAAGCTGGTTGGTATTTAGATTTTTTTATTACCACATCTGCTTTATTCATGCTCGCTTCTGTTCTGAATGTGTAGAGTCTATCTTGTTCGTGAGAAAGCAAATCGGACTTAACAATGTTGAGCAGGTTCTCATATCGTGCTACTGATTTCGCAGCCCATTCTACGCTTTCTTTTCTCTGAATTTCAAAGCGTAGTCTGTTTTTGGTGACACAAAACTTTATAACGTTACTGGGAATTTTAGAGCTCGCAGTTATATTCTCTGCTCTTAGTTCAGAAACCATCTTCAACATAGTCGAACAATCTTCGTCAGACAATGTCTGTAATTTTCTTACGCTGATCTTCAATTGATCGTTTAATGTGACTGTGGCGAAGCCTCTACCTATTCCAGTAACCGGGCATTCCGTAAATAAGCCTCGATCTTGAAGTTTTACTAAATCTGTAATTGACCATTCGTGAATTGCATCCGTATCTATTTTACTCAAATGTTCTCCAACAAATCGCATTAGAGGTGGTGACAACTTCGGTATTGTTGTTATTTCTATAGGTGGAGCATGTCCAATAACTAGATGTCCAGGTATAAAATGAACATCGTCAACGTTGGCTCTATTACTTTTAGAATATGTCTCCCACATAGATAAAACTAGTTTGAATGTTTCTTCCCGGTCAGCTCCCGTTGTTGAAGAAACTCTTTCAAGGCCTGTTAGAATTTTGATATCGTCCTTTACAAAGTTACGTAAGCTTGAAAGAGTTTCAATTTGTTCTGGACTTAGGGTCTCAATGACATCGTAATAACGCATCCCGTTTATGAGGAACTCTGCACATTCACGTATCGATATACCCGACTTAGCAGCAGAATTAAACAATTGAAGAAGTTCTATTTCATCTATATTCAACATAGTCTGAACTCTACTTCTTAATTCGGCAAAATCACTTCTGGAGCCTGGAGGCAATTCCTCGCTTATGTGGGTGAAGGCCTGGTCTTGTACTTCCTTTATAATAACACTGGACCTCTTAAATGCAAATGTACCTTTCGTCCAAAAAGCGATTAAAGCAACGTTAAGTAAAATTTCTCCTATAGACATGTTTTTCAAGTGCCCAATTAAGTATATTGTGTTATTTATAATAGCGGCTGAATTAAGCGCCACACTTGTAGCATTAACAACATTAGTCAATATTTTAAGGGCGGTCGAGATTTGTATACCACGTGCAGCGACAGCGGAAAGTCTCATGGTCGCACCCATTGCACCAAAACCGGCCACGGACGCGGCGATACCTAACCATAGCAATCTTGCGGTTGAATCTGTGAATGGATCTATGGACTGTCCGTGTTCACCCCTGTCAACTAACTCTTTTACAGCTCTACCGGTTCCCCAAATGGCAGTGGCTATACCCGCTGCTGCAATAAAGGGAGCGAATGGACCAGATACCACCATCAATGCAATAGCTGAGCCAATACCAACGACGCCAGCAGCAATATCAACATCAGCCAAAACCTTCGTACTTGTTTCGTCGGCAGGTGTATGATACGGAGGTGTAACAATGGCGTCCCCTTGTCCATCAGACTTCAATTCAAGATTCTGGGGAAAAACCATTTTACAAGGTGGCAACTTATTGTTATCTCTCCAATCACCAAAACTGTTGTAGTACCGTCCTATATTATCCACATAGTAAATTTCTGAATGGTGATATCGCTGAACTTTAAATACTGGAACTTCGTATAGCTTATTCTTGTAATAAAGCTCAATTGGAATGACAGTAACATACATTTTACCGTCTCCATTACAACATTCTCGAATACCATTGACTATTACATTAATAGCTTCTAATGATTTACCGTCAAAGAAAACCAACTCTCCTCTACTAGCTTGTTCGATTTCATCGTGACTCCATACTGCTGGATTAAGAAGGGGTAACCCCATTGCTATACCTATTGTATTTTGCAGATTTGTTCCTTCGAGCAGCTGAGGCTCATTTCCGTTTGAGCCACCGCCTCTATGGAGATATTTGTCTATGTTCTCGTGAGCTTTTTGTACCCAATTAGCTTCGTCGACGTCCATGATTATATAGGTTACAGTTTCTGTATTTAATATTAATTAATTTGTTAATAATTTTTAATTCCACCACCAATGCTCCTCAAATAAATTACTTCTCTCGTTCACAAAGTCTGGCCGATATCCACCGTCTATCCACAGTTTTAGACACCTATCAAATTCTTCAAGTTCACCTTCTGTGTTGAATTTAATTATAATGTTGTTTCCTAAATTTATTTCCTTAAATGCTCTATTAAAAACGTCTATGCCAGATCTTACTTGGCAGATATTATCAGCTGATCCAATAAATTCACAATTCAGTCGGAAATTTGGGTAAAGGAATATAAAACTCGTTAGCCACTTAGCGTTTCGATCGACGATAGAGAGAAAATTGTCTGTGTCTTGGTTTTTAATTTTTGAAAATTCCCAGTTCACGCTTTGACCGAGCTGGAAAAATTCCTTGAAAATATCTTCCCCCACACGGAACCACGCTGTATCGCGAATTCCGTTTATCTCTTTTGGCGTATTTTCGAAATTGGAAAGGAGATTGGTGATATTTTCCAAAATCTTTCTCGAATTATTGGTAGATCCCATAACCTAAAAAAAATTCGCTGTTGAGTCGGATCTTTGTATTAGGGCTCTTATGAAGAGAAAGCTATACGGCATTTTATCTAATATACAACAAGTTTAAAGCACATTCGTGAATGCACTGTTTACGCTATAAATCAAGTATATGTTTATTATATTATACAACTTTTGTCTGTTTAGACATGCTATTATATTTATATAATTGTGTATTGCAATAAACACCATATTAAGTGTGTCTGACGCCATAATCTTTCCATTGTTTCCTAATACAATTATGGGATTCACAATTTTAACCTAAGTTCAACTACTAAATACTTTTTAAAATATACTCACCGAAACAAATCAATACACACAGTACTTATTGCATTATGTTTTAACAAATGAGAAATAGACAGCTTGCAAGTGCGAGGCAGAATATTCAATAATTATTGCCAGTTAAAACGCTTCTTATATACACGCTTTGTTTTTGATAAGCCAAAAGGAAATAACAGGATCATATTTTTAGCACTTGGGGTGCTCGCTGCAGGCGAACTTAGTTCAGTTATGAAAAGCACAGAGGTCGCATATTCAATCCTGGTGAATATTAAGTGTAATAATTAATTTTTAAATTATAGGTATTTTTAGTTTTGTTTAAACAGAAACAAACTTTTTTTATCTTTCTGATGTGTTTTTTAGGCTAGTGGCTTAGTAGACTTAATTTTTAATTCTAGGTATATGATGCAGCTATATAACATCTACATATATACGTAAATAAATATTCTTTATTCTTGAAGATTAACAGTAAAATATTTATGAACGTAAAAATAACTATTTATATAGTAGAAGCTAAAATAAATGTAAAAATAATCAGAATATTTTTAATATAACGCCCAATCAGTGTCGTTTATTTTGGGTTCAAATAGCAGGGATTCGTTATTTTCAGCTCTTTTTATATTTTGAGAATATTGTACATTATACATAATAATTTATAAGTAAAACAGTATGTAAATAAAATTCTATTAATCTGTCATTTTAAAATTATAGTTATCTTAATAACAGGAAAAGGCTAAAACCACATAAGTCAGATATGAGTACAACGGATGTAATTAGTAAAATTATAAGGATGCCTAAATATAGTGATTTATTCTAGTAAACAACTGTAGTGTGGACGATAACATAAATTCCGTATGTATACGGAAGCGCAGCTCATCAATTTTTTGACATTTCAAGAGAATACATTTCGATAGAAAAATAATTACGCGAGTAGTACACATAAAAATAAAACACTTTAACGGTTTAAAACGCGATATATATCTGTTAAACTTATTTGGATCTTATTTAAACTACGGCCGAACATTTTGTTTCCCCGTGAACACGGCTGCTGGAAAGCATCCGAATCTAAATAAGTTTAGCTAATATTTATCGCGTTTTAAACTGTTAAAGTGTTTTATTTAAATACTTGTTGAAGGTGCGTACTTCAATAGACTAAAGAAAGTCGACGATGACGTGTACAACAAGGTAGCTCAATTCTTTAGAGTTGCAGCACGGAACATTTTATATGGCGGTTCAAGTTCCGCCCGTTTCGTAAAATTTTTGTTGTTAATAAGATTTTAATTTTAATGTAATTTAAACTAAAAATAACAACTCAGTGTGACCAGTAGCTTTGCTTATGTAGCTCAATGTGAAGATTTAACCACAAAAGTTCTTGGGTTCGAATTATAATCGAATCAAAGATATTTTCATTGGTTCAAGGTAACTAGATTCAATTTAAGCGAGGTTTACGTGATTTTCGGTATTTCCCGTCGTTAGTTAAAATAACTTAATAAGATACGGTTTACCTCATTATAGTAGACTTGTTTAGCGGCCGGCAAGAGAGGCATTGTTAGACGAAGGTGCGAATTTAGGCCGAGGCATGTAAGTCCGTCAATGCCTAGTTGTAGCCACGTCTTTATGGTACTTTTTTTTCAATGTGCGGAAAATAAAAATAAATAATGCAATTTAGTACTTTAAACCCAATGACGAAGTAAGAAACAAAGACAAGTAATTTAGTAGTTTTTAGGCGCCAAAGTGTTTTTTTCCTAAACCGCTTTCTATGTGCCAGTTCGAAATTTAAATTAAACCTTTATAAGTTACCTCATTGTTCGTTATGTAGCGGAGTACAAGATCGTTTAATTTTTTAAGTATGATTTTAATTTAAATAATTACGGTTTAAAACGCGATATATATTAGTTAAACTTGCTTGAAACTACGGCCCGACGTTTCGGTATGATAGGCGCTAAACTCGACAGATATAGATACTAATACCAAAATATAAGTAATAAAGTATACGTTGTCAAAATAATTCTAAAATGTCCAAGCATGTTTGAGAAAAAAATATTTTTTTTATTTATATTATCCCCATAATCCGAAGACTAGTTCTAATGTATTCAAGTAGCTAACCACATGTGATATTCAAACTGGGCTAATTCCAACGGACCCCAATGTTTTGTCTCCAAGTGCCATTAGGGAACTTTGCAACTTTAATAATTCACGTGGATTACTGGGACGGAGTGCTCTAATCAATTTTACATTTTCACGTTGCAAAGAAACTTGTTACATGTATAATAGAGAAGACTAAAAATCACTAAATTGCCAGATTTCTATTTAATAATCATACCCTTCAACTATTTAGACCTATAACTAACTAGATGTCTTAAGAGGAAAGAAAATATATATCCTGAAAACTTTGATATTTTTCACATGTACAAACATACACATTCTCGCGCTCTATTATTTACAATATTAACAGGATTACGAATCTCAAATTCTTTGAAGCATACAGTTTGACGATTGTATATGACATTCGATTAGGTTTAACCTCACGACTGTACGTTATTGAATCCGCATGAGTACAGTAGACGGCTGTCTTTGACATAAGACAGATTAGCTACAGAGAATACAACATCTGTATGCCCGAAGACTACAACTCACGTATCAGCCCAATAGAATTTGACAGGAAAATATCACGAGTCTTTTATCAATCGTCTTTAATCTCTCTCGTACATATTCTACATTAAATAAATCACTTTTAACCGCTTTAAATGCTGATTCATTTTAAGCTACGAACGACGTTTTCAATGCTTTTCAGCAGCCCTATATAACCCTAACATTACTGTGTTAATTGTATTTCAACATTGTTAGATAAAAGAAGTATTATAAGTAAAAAAGAGAGATATATATTAAATAGAACTGCATGTATATTTATTTTTCACATAACTTAAAATGCTATGACGTCATAGATACACCATGGTGGACTACACAAGATAGCGGATTGTTTACTTTGTGAGAATTGTTTGTTTAGAAAACACCAAATGATTTTAAAGGCCCTAATTATGGTATTCTGTATAATATGTTTTATATTTCAAAAATGTTATAGTTTAGCTGAATATTACTTACAAAATTTTCTTCATAAATTCCTTCTGAATTTAAGCAATACATTTCGTTAGTATTCAGTTGAATATCGCCCACGCCTCAATCCCAACGCCAGATAATCATGAAAGGGACATTTAAATTTGATCTAGGTTCCTCAAACGGACCTTAATTTAAGGAAAATCTCGCAAATCGATCTGATTGCGAAGCGATAAGTTTAAAAAGAAAATCTACTTAGCATTAAATCTCAGTTTGTGTACATGGAATCTTGCATGTATTTTCATGTACTGTCTGCAGTTTCCGCGAATGGTGCATATTTAAATACAATTAATACATATTTGTCTATCAAAAACCGATCGTTGACGTATAACTTAATAGATTAATAAAAAAAAACACTTTTATATTTCTACATTAATTCTTTAATTGTTTTTATTTTACGTTTTAAGTTTACCAACTCAAAAGGCCACGTTTAGATACCAGAAGTAAGCTAATTAACACATATTGCTTTATAAAATCCAATTGCTTTAAAGGTAACAAAACGCTGGAAAACCTTTACAGTTTCGGCTGAATAAAATAAAATAAAATACTTTGAATATTAAAAACATGAATTGACTACAAAAAGTATGAACAAACAAAACCAGTAGTTCATTTCATTCAGCAAGACATCAATAATGTGAAATCGGGGCTTTGTACTTCACCAATGAGAATAAAAAGATTCAAGACAATTTACCTCACCCGAACAGACTTGAGCATTTAATTAAATGCTCGGAGCGAGTCAATATCCGTTAAAAGAATTCGTTTCTTTTTATCGTAGAAGGTATCAAAACGAATGGAAATTCGATTTTATAATTTGTCGTATTTATGTTTTCACTGAGCAGGTTCTAATTTGAAATATTTACCTTACTATACGCCGTTCGAATATCAAATTTAAATCGAATCCTGTTTGCTTTGGTTAGAGTAAAGGCAGCAGTGTTTTTTTACGATCGAGGAGTACAGAAGAGCATGGGGTTCACTTGATGGTAAGTGAAATACCCCAGCTTACATCATCCAAACAAGATGTGTTGTCGACATATTTTGAACTGAAACCGAAACGCGATTAAACTTCACAGCTTTTTCATCTGCAAACGGTGGACTGGAAGGAATTTCGATATTCCCACCACACATTTAATATTCAAATTTCTATAGCCAACATCGACCCCACGACACGTTGATAATCAATATATATTTTCGGATGGGCAGGGCAGAAAAGTCTTATGAATAGGACGTTTAATAAAATCTATCAGTGAGGTAGGCACAGGAATTTGTTCGCCCCATGCCCAACAAGGGGACACAGGACTTTATCTGTAATATGAGGACTTAAAAATTAGAGTACTTGGCAACACTTTGAAGGTTTTTTGAAGTAGTTTAACCTCTAACTTCAATTGCATAGTTGTAAACGAGATAAAATAGGCGCGTATTCCCAAAGAAATATGAAACGAATAAATGAGGTTTTCATTTCAGCCGAAAATGAAAATTGGCAATGTTCAATTGCAGATTTTAATTAAAGTTGGTAACTTACACTGTTGGTAATTTTTGTTTGTACACGATTGCATACATTGTGCCCGAGAACCCGGGAGCAG